CCACTCCTCAAGCCCCTCCCCCACCCCCCCTCAAAACCCCTCCCCCTCCCCCCACGGGCTCTTGTTTAACCGCTGAATAAACCCGGAAGTTCCTTGGCTACTGGGAATTGGGGTTTGGCTACTGGGAATTGGGGTTTGGCCACTGGGAATTGGGGTTTGGCCACTGGGGGAGGGGTTTGGCCACTGGGAATTGGGGTTTGGCCACTGGGGGAGGGGTTTGGCCACTGGGGGAGGGGTTTTGGCCACCGTGGCGAGCGGTTTTTTTTTTCGGGTTTTTTTGGGGCGTTTTCCCCAAATTCCGCGGGTTTTGGAGGGGCTGAGGGATCATAGAGATGGGCGCTGGAGGACTGAGCGTCACTTCCGGTCCGGCGAACGCAACCATAGAGATGGGCGCTGGAGGACTGAGCGTCACTTCCGGTCCGGCGAACGCAACCATAGAGATGGGCGCTGGAGGACTGAGCGTCACTTCCGGTCCGGCGAACGCAACCATAGAGATGGGCGCTGGAGGACTGGGCGCCACTTCCGGTGCAGTGGGCTTAACCATAGAGAGCCCACCGGAGGACTGAGCGTCACTTCCGGTCCGCCAAACCATCGAGTTGGCCGCTCTACCCACCACGTGATCCTTACAGCCCGCTCTGATTGGTGGGCGGGAAAAGCCGCGAACCAATGAGGCGGACGGGGGGGCGCTGAGGGCGGGTCACGTGACCGGAAGAGAGCGGCGGGAGGAGCGCGTCGCTATGGTGAGAACCGGGCTGGGACTGGGATGGTTTATACTGGTTTATACTGGTTTGTACTGGTTTATACTGGTCCGTACTGGTTGCAGACGTCGGCGTTGACGCAGGGGCTGGAGCGGCTCCCGGCTCAGGCCGGGTACCTCGTCATCAGCGACGGCGCCGTGCTGGCGGTGAGGGGGGAGGGGCCGAAAAATGGGGGAGGGGTCCCGGGTGTGGGGGAGGGGTCCCGGGAGTGGGGGAGGGGTCCCGGGTGTGGGGGAGGGGTCCCGGAAATGGGGGAGGGGTCC